AAAAAAAATGCAGGGCTTGAGTGGGCAGGCCCATCCAGAGAGGTCCTAGGGAGGGACCTGGGGGGAGTCCAGAGATGGCAGAGTCCAGGATGGAGGGCCAGTGGTTACCAAGGACACGTTCCTGAATAAGGACCTGGACAGTAGAGAGCTGCAACAATGTGAAAATGGGAACTTGAGCAGAGCCCCAGGGTTTTTCCCACTCATCCCAGGAGTGAGGGGAAGCAAGGTCTCAGGTTTTCTCTTATGGCAGCAGTGACACAAGGTCAGACGCACAGAGAGGATAATCATAATATTATCACTGACAGAGTCTCCCAAGTCCCAGCCCGCCTGGAAGTCACAATCTGGATCAGGGTAACTTCGATCTTGGAAAGATTCACCTGCATCTGCCTCCCAGGGGGACTTGGATTAAAGGTGCACACCACCACACCTGGCGTACAGGAGACAGTTTTAAGAAAGGTATGCCATGACTGGGGAGATGGATTGGTAGGTAAACCACCTGCACCCCAAGCATGAGGACTTGAGTTTGAATCCACAAAACTCACATAAAAGTCGAGTGTGGCAGTGTACCTGTGACTCCAGGACTGGGGTAGAGACAGCAGGATCCAGGGGTGAGCTCCAGCTTCATTGGGAAATCCTGTCTTGAAAAATAAGAGAACAACTGAGGACATCAGACGCTGACCTCTGGCTTACACACACACACACACACACACACACACACACACACAAAAGACTTATCAAAGTGCAGGCTTCTTTTGAGGGTGGTTTTTCACGGGACCTGGCAACAATTTCTGGAAGCTTTCGTGATGCCCGTGTTTTTAATGTACTTGCAGGGACAGGGTACGTGTGTCCTTTCTGGTATAGCTGGTAACAGTCAAGAATATCCTCCCAGCTCTCCAGATCTTACAGGACACAAAAGCAGATGCTGCTTCTCAATTTAGCCTCTTAGTAACTCAGAATAGCCTAGCAAACTTTCCACACAGAGCTTTCCCTCTGTAGCTACAGAGGACATGACCACCTATCTTGAACTGCTTTGTTAACTGTGAATACTTGCTTTTTTATTTTCAGAAACAGGGCCTCACTGTGTAGCCCTGACTGGCTTGGAACTCACTATGTAGATTATGTTGACCTCAAATTCACAGAGATTACCTGCCTCTGGTTCCTGAATGGGAAGAGTAACATTTTAAAAACATTTTATTTATTATTTTTATTTTATGTTTATGTGTGTATTGCCTGCATGTAGGTAAGTGCACCTGTGTCATGCAATGCCCAAGGAGGTCAGAAGAGGCTGTCAGATCCCCTGGAACTGGAGTTACGGACAGTTGTTAGCTGCCATGTGGGTGCTGGGATTTGAACCTGGGTCTTCTGCAAGAACAACCAGTGTTCTTAACCACTGAGCCATCTCTCCAGCCCTTGGAGGAGTAACAGTTTTAAAAATACTCTTTAAAAAAAAAGATTTTAAATTATATGCATGTGTGGATGTGTGCGTGCATGTGTGTGCATATGTGCGTGCAGGGACCCCCAGAGGGCCAGAAGCAGCTGTTGCATCCCTTGGAGTTGGCATCACAGCCAGTTGTGAGCTGCCTGATGTGGGTGCTGGGAATCAAACTCAGGTCCTCTGGAAGAGCAGCAAGTGATTTTAACCACTGAACCATCTCTCCACCCCCAAGGGAAGACTAACATTTTTAAAAGTCTGCCTTTAGAATTCTCTTAGCACTAAAAGCAAGTGTGGCATTTAGGCTTAAATGTCATTTGCAGAAATGGAGCTGTGGTTAGACCTTTACTCTTTTTTTTTTGGACTTATTTTTATTTTATGCACATGAGAGGTTTTCCCCGTATGCATGTAAGTGCACCACAGGCATGCAATACCTGCAGAGGTCAGAAGAGGGCATTGAATCACCTGGAACTGCACTTCCAGACAGTTGTTAGCTGTCATATGGATGCTGGGAACAGAACCCAGGTCCTCCTAACTGCTGAACCATCCCTGAAGCCCATTTTTAAATGATTCTACCTTGAGGTGTGTGTGTGTGTGTGTGCAGGTGCCAGAGGCTTGTCCCTGGGGTCATTCTATTGGGAGTCAGTGGAACCTTTAGCAAGTAGGGCCTGGTGGAAGGAAATTAGGCATTGGAGATGTGCCCAGCAGGGGCCAATGGGAACCCAGCCCCTTTCTCCTCCCCCTTTTCAATTCCTGGCCGTGCAGGGGTTTGCTTTCCATATGCTCCCACAGTGATGCTCAGTCTTGTGCAGCCCAACAGGGCCAAAAAATAGACTGGAACCTCCAAAATAAACCTTCTCACTTTAAAATTTGAGCACCCAGGTATTAATTACAGTAGCCGAAAGCTGACTAGCATGTTCCTTTATGCTGCTATCAGCATTCAGATTCCCGTCTACATCCCATTCCTTGCCATGCTCAGATTTCCTTTCTTAGGCTTCTCGAATGCTCAAGGGCCAATGCTTAGTTCTGTGATACTCTTTTAAGACCCATGTATACAACATTTTGTAAGTATTACCATAATACTTAGGCAACTGTTTTTCCTATAAAGTCCACCCAGAACATCTGCGGGGTCTAGGGCAAGACTGAAAATAGTCATGTGTGTACATATTTAAAAGCTGTAAGACATGCTTATGAATGGTTACATAAAATGTTATAGCCATTGACAAACACGCCTTCGTAAAGGCAAAACAGTTATGTGTGTAGTTGTGGCTTCTGTCTATCTGGAAGTCAGTGATGTACCAAAGATAACTGAATTTAATTT